TCTATTAAGTATAGTGAAGGAAATAAAATTTTTGTTTGAAAACTTCATTTCTGAAAAGGAGAAAAAGTGCTTTTAAATACTTTTGTGGCTTATAAATAACCAATTTTATAGATATTTCATATATAACTCATGCTTCAGTTCTCTGAGTAGCATCCTTCATGGCAGCTTAGATTTTCAACAGTAACACAGCTAATCAATCAAGTAGTGGAAAACTTCAAGGCAGAGGCTTCCTTATCAGCAGGGTATGTTGAGAAACACATTAATTTCACACATTTGTGTTTACAGGTGAAGGTATAATGGGAAAAAAAAAAATCACTCCTTATCCCAGTCCACTCATACACAAATGCAACATGCAGATGTAGGATGCTGATGTTAGGATAAGCACAGGGAAAGCATTCCCTCACTCAAAAAAAAAATAATGAACTCTGTGGACAGCTAGTCCATCTCTCTTCAAATTATAGTTGCTGTACCACTTTTACTTCAGTCATAGTGAATAAAACAAAGAGTTTTTAGACAGAAATCAGTGAAGATTGTCAAAGTAAACAAGAGACCTAACAAACTTCTCACTGAGCACAATGAGATTGTGCTTTGAAGATGTATACATAGACAAGATGGTCAGTAAACTAAGGACAGCCTTTGCTTCCTAAGGAAGCAGCTAAGGCAGCACATACTCCTTAAACAAGCTTGTGTCATTTTTCTGACACATAACAACAAAACTTTTTAAGTTGATTTATACAGCTACATACTGGGAGTTGGGTTTACTTTCAATCCTGCAGGGAAAAAGCATATATTCATTTTAACTTCTTGTCTCATTCAGAAGCAATATACTGGGAGTCTCTGCATGTACAACCTGAAAATCACTTAATTTTTCTCGTGAAGGATTTTAGAAAGATTACAGATCAGCATGCATTTTAATGTACAGAAATTTATATAAAACACACTGATTTTTTGTTTTTATCCTAGTAAAAATGTCAGATATGTTCTTTTTAAACAGGCCAAATACTTATGCTCTTCATGTCAGCAGCAGGTGCCATCTCTCAACTACAAAATTAGAGTTCAATTTGCCTCACCTAACTTTACTCTAGGAAAACTAGGGTTTCCCTAACTGTTTTTTTTTTTAAAAGACCAAACTTTTAAACCATGACATTTCCAGAGGCCAATTTATCTCATGAAAAACCAGACTGCTGATGCAGTTGTGATGATTGACCTCAGGAAATATTTCTGTATTCTCTATTTCTCTAGAATAGCTCTATAAGCTCCTGTAACTAGGTCAACCTTCATTTCTCCTTCTTAGACATCTGAAGATGAACAAAAGAAAAATCTAGCCCCTGTTTGCATGTTGACCCATCCCAGGAATTGTACCAAAAAAAGGCTTCAATTACTGCTGGGATCCATTTGAAGTCCATGGTAGTCTGCTCCAGGCAGGTGCAACCTCATCTCCTCCTGTAGATGACAAGTGCTAACCTATTTCAAAACTGAGCAGAAAATCAAAATATTTAAAATGCAAAGAAAATATCAGTAAAATTAGGCAGCAATTTTTATTTTTGCTCACTGTATTTATTTTTATGTGTATTTCTGTTTCCCTCAGAGCTATATATTCATAAACATGCTCATAGGAGCAATGCAAAGTCAAAACAGACACTTAACTTGACTAGAGGAGGCCTCTGGTGGCAGTTGTGAAGTACAACTTCTCATAGTTCTAGGAAATATGCATTTTGATGACATAATTTTCTGTATAGAAAACGCTACAGAAAGCAGACCAAGGAGTCAGATTGCAGTAAAAATGGACATACTACTGTTCATCTCCAAAGCACAAAAAATTTCAGCCCATCCCTCTTCACGGCTACACTACAGCTGTCAAATTAAAGTTGCATATATTTGCAGCTAAGATTAAAATGACAGCCTTTACTGATCACAAAGGACACCACTGTCAGCAGTAAAACTGAGGGATGTGTTTTTACAGCAAGACACAAAGTCCTGGTGTCCAGCACCACACAGACTCACATCAGCCATGGACCATGCATTCCAGCACCAGCAGAAGAGCAATAAGGTTACAGCATATTAACTGCACTATCATCTGCATCCAACACGACAAAGAGGCAGTGGAAGCATTTCAAACACACACATGAGACCAGGAAAACCTTTAAAAAGCTAGCCTGATGTTTATGAATGCTGACACAAGCTATAGTCAGAGGCAAAGGGCTGCCTGTAACAGCTGATAATTTGCTTATTGGTTGGACAGGAGTAAAAGCAATTCCATTACCATTTAAGAGCCCACAGAGAGAATACAAGCAGACCAATAGACAGCTGAGGAACTTCTCTGGAATGGCCAACTTCTCTAGTGCTCTTTTGGATCTCGACACTGGCATCTCAGGAAGAGAATAATAAGTCCCACCACTGAAACTGATGCTGTCAACAGCAACAGCTGCCACAAGCAGTTCCTCTAAGAATGAGACTACAGCAAGCAGCTAGAACTGTAGTTCCATCCTTCTGTTTGCACTAGCAATTACCTTAAAAGCTGTCCAGGATGCAAATGAAATTTAAAAAGTTTCAGTGTTACATAATGCAACCAACTAATGCACAAATGCAAATAACTAATTATTTTCAGCTGAGCAAAACAGACAAGATCTAAAGAAGAAGAGAATTTAACATTTCTCCCATCACACCAGCCAGCATACTGCCAAACTAATATAATAGCAATGCTAACCAAAAGCATTTACTGTTTGGTATTTATTATAATAAACAGCTGAACAGCCTAGCCAAGAGGCACTGGAATTTTTTTTAAATGATTCTCCTAATTCTTAGAAGTAAACTTACTAACAGATTTACAGCAACAGGTCCATCAGTTTCATCTTTTAGACAGATGGAGAACCACTCCTACAAGGAAACACGAAGAATTGGGATTGCCCAGCCTGGTAAAAAGAAGGTTTTGGTATGACCTAATTGCTGCTTTCCTGTACCTGAAGGGAGCCTATAATAAAGATGGAGAGAGACTTTCTACAAGAACATGTAGTGACAGAACAAGGGGGAAGAGCTTCAAACTAAGAATAGGTTTAGATTAGGTATTAGAAAAAAAAAATTCTTTACTGCAAGGGCAAACTGAACAAATTTCCCAGAGAGGATGTGGATGCCCCAGCCCTGGAAGAGTTCAAGGCCAGAAAGATCTAATGGAAAATGTCCCTGTCTCTGGCAGGGGAGTGGAAACTACATAATCTTTAAAGTCCTTTTGGATCCAATCCATTCTATGATATTTCTATTTATGCCACAGTTACCTTAAAAGATGTTCAGGACAGAACATGAGCTGAAAATCTTCATGGAGTATTCAAATTTAAAGAACATATTTGAAAAATATTGTACAACTAAAGCTCTGCACTTCCTATGCACAGCTACATTTTTTCCTGATGGCCTTTCAGTGCAGATCCAACCCATCAAAAGAGAATTAAATGTTCCTTCAAAGAGATACTTTGTTTTCAAAGAATGACAGCTCAAATCTTCAAAGGAAAAAAATTAGCAAAAAAAAAGGAAAAAAAGGAATCATTTTACTTGCCCAGAAGAGATTGTAACGGACTTATTATGGCCAAAATTTCACTTCATATTGATGACAGTAACTCAACACATTTCATTTTTTACAGCTAGAAAGTACATCCAAGTAACAAGAAACACACTTCAAAAAAAATGAAATACACTTCAACCAAGAAGATCAAATTTATATGAGGCAACTCATAGCTGCACATATAAGTACACAGTTTGTTACACATCCACAACCAGACAGCAGAACACTGCCAAGAGCAGATGCACAACATGGATCTTTCCTTCCATAATCTATTCCATCCCATCCCACTGGCAGTCCCTCAGTTAAATAAAACAGGAGAAATACAAGCTTTGCCATAGAGTAGCAGACCAATGGCTCATCTTTCCCTTTAACATATTTAATGTGTTTATGTTCCCTGACCAGAAGCAAGGCCCTTACTGAGCAAACACAGAATGACACAATTAAGATATTCCAAGTATATAGAGTCAGGTATGTGCCTCATCTGCCCTATTTAAACATCTGTACAATCTGAGTTAGCTGTAGAAATGATACCATATTGCCTTAAATTAGAAACTGCAGGCATAGAAAGTATTTGATGGAAACACACGCCTTTTTCCAAGCCCATGGCACGGCTGTTGTCATCCCTGTGGTTAATTCAGTACACTACAGTTATGAGGACTGAGGTAAGAGAGCTGCAGACATCTCTCAATCTTCTGAGTGATTTGTTCAGCAGCATAAAGTGAGTGAGTGAGCCCAGCTTGAATTAGGATCCAAGGAGTTGTTAGCCATGGTCCTGCAGGCCTGTGAATTTGCCAGCTTAAGGAAACTCCCAGCTCTAGCAAAAGCAGTAATTGTTCTGTTGGTGACATCAAAGACCACCACAAACAAAAAAAGTGCTTTCCAGTACCCAGGAATTCCAAACTAGGTAGTCTGAGAAGGGTAAATGCTGCTTTTTCTTCCCAACCCAAGAATTTATATACCTTAAATCAAAACATTTATTTCTAAAAGTACAGCTAAACAACCCTAAGGCATATTACTTAAGACCTACAACTAGATGAACATTTTAATGTAAAACAGCAAGAAAAAGATAAAGATTTTTCCAAAGACAGCAAAGATGTCAGAAAAGACTCAGAAATCATGGAAAAGCAATTTTCAGGCAGAAGTCTGATTAAATTGGGTCCTCTGCTTGAAAGTAAAGAGCATGTATTCTGACATTATTTTCACCCCTGAAACATAATTCTCTTTCAATGCTAAAGCAAATGTCTGGTCCATGTAATTTTTATGTACTCTGTATTTATGATACAGAATTAGAAAAACCAAAAACCAAAAAAAAACCCAAAAACCAAAAAAAAAAAAAAAACAGAAATGCAACACCACCCACAGAACAATATATACAAAACAAAGCAAAAAGCAAGAAACTTTTTAAAAACCTAGATTGTTTTTAAATTAATGCACCTCATTTCCTTACCTTGCAAACAGTCTCTGTATCCCATGGTAAGATGGTCCTCAGATCAATAACTTCACAGGACACACCAAGCTTTTCTTGAGCCATTGATGCCACCTCTTTGATCACATGTACCTGAAAAAGCAATGTACCATCACCAAATAATCTAAATTATGCAATTTTCTCTAAATTACACATATGGAATACAAGCAGTGATTTAACATAGCACCTACATATTGAGCAGAGACCTTTCTATTCAGTAATAACCATTTAGTATTCAGTGCATTCTTCTTATTTAGTACCTAATTATTCCCAGTATTTTAGCACCACTCCAAAATCTAAATGCACTGAAGAATCATTAAGAACAAAATTGGCTTTCTAGAGATGTCTTTCAGTGACTAGTATCAGTCCTCACTATTTTTATTTTTTTTAATCAGTTTGAATGAGTTTTAGAAGTTTTTTGTTATGACTGTAACTAAGCTAATACCCAAATAAATTAGAGTACTATATTTTAACATAGCAAACCCATGCAATCCTGAAAGAAGCATTAAGTACATTCAGAAATACTACACTGCACTCCACCTGATCTTAGCCAAAAAGCCAACAAACAGTTCTAGCAGTCCCAGTATCTACTCTTAGTCTAACTCACTGAAACATAGCCAAGTGATCATCTCCAAACCATTATCTTACAAACAGCTAGGAGAGAAAGTAATTACCACTACCTGTAAATATCCAGTCCTGATCCCCACAATCAAAGTACATAGCAGTAGCATGACATTATAACCATTTATTGCTCATCCAACACACAGTTTAACATCAACATTACAAATGCTGCATTACCTGATTACTACAATTAACATTTTACTGACACAGGAAAGTATTCCACTCTAGTAGGAGGCTATCACTGAACTGGAACAGGTTATTCCGTATCCACCAGCCAAGGAATTTATTTAGCAGTGTGTCACAGTAGATATAAAAAAATCCACATCTATTTCCATCCTTTCCATAAAGTATATTATGCTAAGAACAGGAAAGAAATACTACATACATTCAAAACTGTATCTTGACATTAGGTTATAAAACACTTTTCAGCAAAATGCAGTTCAATCATTGGCTTCCCTAAAACAAATATTTGCACACAAATGCTCCAACATGGAAAATAACTGTTACAACTCAGATTATTCTCTACAAATATCTCAGCAAGAAGAATTTTCTCATGAAATATGTGGATAAAAAAAATTATCAACATGATGCTGCAAAAAAACTCTGATGCTCTCTTTGCCAGAACATTTCATAATACAGGTTAGGACTATAGCAAATGTCCTCCATCAAGCAACTTTTAGGAATAGCTAAGAGGCTGAAGTCAAGGACCATCCCCAGTAATTAAATTGGATGAGGTCATCTTCATCCTGAAGACAACAGAATTTAGCAACATGGACATGGTCAGGCAGTGTCAGTTGCCCAAAGGTCAGAGGGCATTAATAAATCCTATACAGGCATGAATTCTACACTGAAACAAGATGATTAAGGATTTAAACACAAACTATATCATGCCTATATGAACAGCTAAATGCAAAGGGAAAATTTTAAAAGGTACATCAATAGAAGAATTGCAGTACCAGAAAGAAAATACAACTTGCAGTGTTTTTGTTTAAACTTCTAATACATCTGTGGCTGTAGTAAGAATGTTTGAAAATTTTCAACATGGCACACAGGACAGACATTTTTGCTGTTTCTCTGTAAAAGTATAAACACTTACCTAGCTCAAAGGGGATATGGATTAGTTAATAACCATAAACGGATTAGTTATTGACATAAAAGTCTGAGCACAAGTGGAGAGGAGCTAAAAGTTTTTTCTGCCCTTCATAAACACCACCCATAAACATATGTGTCATAAACAGGACAATCAGCATTAGGGAGCCTCACCAGAGCAGCAGCTGACAAGCAACTACCTCATGTCCCTTGTGTCCAAAACCATAAAAGAAGTTATCAATGAGTCTGTGCAACCCCTCTGCCTACTGACAGTAAATTCTGGAGTGGTAGCACAATTAAAAACTCCAAGTTTATGTGCTTCACCTGAACACATCCTCAGCACAAACTCACTGAACATATTTGATCTGCAGAATACCAGTGACAAACCAACACAGCTAGATTTACTTCATGCATGTGAAACATCTGCCCCCTTGCTGTATGACACAGCCAGAGGCATGGTTTGGTCAGCTCCTAAACCTGGATGTGTCTGCATATCTGTCCAATTTTTTTGTCACACCAAAAGTGTGTCATAATTTTTACCAAGAACCAGAACACAGCTTTTTTGAAGCATGTCACTGCAAGTCCTCTCTGTACTACTGCCTACTGAGTAAACTCAGGATATTATTAAATCTCCATAGCCAGCTTTTAAGCCATTACTTTATCAAGTTAATTACTTTATCAATATCTTCTGGAAAAAAACAAGTACAAGTAAAGATATTTAAGAAATCCATATTTTAATAGCAGTGAAAATTATCAGAAACTAGTAGGAATAACCATAGATATAAAGGAGATTAACTAGTCTGAAGACAAGGAAACTACCACAGACAAGCACTGAAGATTAGAAATTTCAAAGAAAACAAAACAAACAAACCAAATAACATCAACAACAAAAAGGTGCAAACACAGATCAGGTCAATATGATTTGTCACAGAAGTTTTAAGACCCTCTCCTCTAAAAGCTTCTCAGATACAAGTAGGCCAAGAAAATAGTAACTTCTGGTTAGACCAAACTGGACTCAAATCTCTTTTCTCTAATTCTGGACTACAAAGATGTATTTTCTTACAGCTTTTTCACTATTTGCAGATCTGAATTTGGTGGGGGGGAGGGGAGGAGGGGGAGGGTTGCCAATGATGTTCCTGAACAGCTTTGAAATGTAACTGTTAGAAACAAAACTATACCAATCCCTACTTGTATTAAATGCTACATGGATTTTTAACTTTCTGTATAAAGGGACACCCACGTTACACTTCTTTAAATCACACAGTGAAGATCTATACTTTTCTTTCAGCATACTATTTTGAACTTTTCTTTCCCACTGCCTTCCTCAGCGTTACATCTCACTACCCCATTCTTAAATCTATCATTCTCATAATCATAGAAAAATCATTAACCTGATGCACAGGTACCTCTTCTACACTTCCAGAGCCATCTTCAATCAAAAATTAGTAAAAACTTACACAATAAAAAGCATGTTTCATAGCAATACAAACACCGGCAAACATTTGTTTAAGCATATAGTGATGGAAGACAGCACACTTTAATGTCTGGCACTTGAGCCTGAATGCAAGCACCACCTACCCCCTAGGCCTGGCTTTACTGGGTGACAAATAGCTTGTTAGAGAGTTACAGACCTGAGTGCCCCAAGCAACCATTGTCACATCACTGCCCGTCTGCAGCACCTCAGCTTGCGACAGTGGAATGGTGTAGGGCTCTACAGGAACTTGTTCCACTGAAAAAAAAAAAAAAAAGACAGGAAAAGAAAATAAGCATTAGATTCCTTTATTAGTCAATATTTTCCATAAAAACATACACTAAATTTTTTCTTAAATGTTAAAGCCATCTAAAACAATAGACCAAATTTCTACTGAGTATGTTACTGGTGCCCAGTGACAGGATGAGGAGCAATGACCATAAATTAAACCAGAAAAAGCTTCACCTCAACATGAGGAAGAGCTTCTTTTGGTTGAGGGTAGCACAGCACTGAATAGGCTGCCCAGCAAGGTTGTGGGGTCTCCCTCTCTGGAGAAATTCAAAACCCACCTAGATGCGTTCCTGTGTCACCTGCTCTAGGTGACCCTACCTTGGCAGAGGGGCTGGACTGCATGATCTCCAGATCTTCCAACACTAACAACTGTGTAATTCTATTAGCATTAGGCTAAAATAGCTGAGTATTAGCATTCAAAGGTTTAGCTGCAATTCAAATTCTTTTTAATTAGACTGTTACAAATATGTCCAGTGTGGAGTTTAATTTTTGTTACATACCACAACAAGATGATGCATATATACACATGCAAAAGATAGTAATAAGTTCTGGTGTACATCAAGTCAGAATATCAGCGTCAGATTTGGAAATGGACACTGCTGGTAAAAAAATCTCAAGTAACCACTAATTAATCAGAATTCTTGATTATTCTAGAAATCATCTAGCCTTGAAATTATACTTTAATACTCAGACAAGAAGGATCAGCTGTGCCAGCATCCTCCTGATGCTCCAAGTATGACGATCTGCAGCTTTATGTTTAAACTGAGGTTTAAAGTTTTCAGAAGCTACACAGGAAGAATCAGCAAGAACTTTTAGTTATAGCAGTTTAAAACAAGTTTCCTTTTAAAAGGAAAAATATTTTTTCTTAAAAAAAAAATTATCTATTCACCAAAAATACACCACAGTTAGAGAGAGAATGCAAGAATCAGGCATGAAATGTCTTCTCCTAAGACATTTAAGGTAGTTCCATTCAAGACTCATGTACTAGTTTTCAGATGGAAAAACATTAGGTCAGTTGTGCTAGTTTAGAATCAATGCTCCAACACACTACACATTAATGATTTAATGATTAAAACTATGATAAAAATATCCATATATCCTGCTTTAAAAGAAATACTGGTTTTGATCTAAAGATGAATTTGTCTATGCACCAGCAAGTCAAATAATACTTCTTAAAACATATTCTAGTGGTAATTAGAAAAAAATAGATCTTCTAAATACACAGAAACAATTTATAAAGAAAACACTCTGCCTTTTTTTGTTACTTCATAGCTCATAAAATACTTACTGAGTTCCTGTTGAACAAAATTGCTTCTTGAAGTTACAATAAAGAATCTCCCTGAGTGATACCAGTAGTGAAGTGGTTTGCATTTTTCCTTCACTGTTATGGTAGATCCAATACAAATAGAATGACCTAGGTTTTTTCCTGGCTTACAAGCTTGAAAAATGAAGTAGCAAATAATTTCCAATCATAGCAGACAATTTTCTTTCCTCTTGTTGATAACGATCTACAAATACCACCTGTGTCACAGAATCACAGAATGACTGAGGTAGGAAATGACCTCTGCAGATCACCTAGTCCAAGCACCCTGCTCTGTAATAATTTCTTTGAATAACAAGTGGGTAGAAAAATATAGGGCTGGGAAGGAAAGGGAAGAAAGGCACATCCAGCCCTTGCTCTTTGCACATTAGTGGCAGGCCAGGTTTCTATGGATTTTTCACGTTGTAAGACCCTCAGGCAACAGAAAGAGATCCTGAAAGATAATGAAACCCACAACTACACTAATTGGCATTGCATAGCTGTCCTTGTCACGAAATGGTCACCTACACGAAACCTGGAGAACAAGGAACTTAAATAGATACCACGGGACCTTCAAGTGGAAACCCAGGATACCAACATGAATGAGAAGGTTTTGAAGGAGGAGGGATGAGCCAGAGGAAAAACTAGAAGGTGTACATGATACAGAAATATTTTTTTTTTCTCTGATAATGGTTTTATCCACTTAGGGAAATGAAATATTACATGTAATTACACAAATTAACTTATTTTTACTATAGCTAAACCATTCTGCAATGAAATGTCCATTAAATGACCTCATCTATAATATCTGACAATTTTAAATCTAAAATTTAGCTTGTCAAAAATTTATAGGAAAGTCCAATTTGCATGGATTTGTCTTCATCGCCTTTCTAAAAACTCCTCTCCCAACTAATATAGATGAAAAATAGCATATGAAATTATTCTATTAATATTCTTTCATAGTAATTATCTAATCCAGGATAACAATGTTTACATACAAAGCAGCCTATCAATCTATTACTAAAGACATAAAGTATTTTAAATCAAATGTTTCAAATACAGATTTCAAATACAGCAATTAACAAAAAGTAATTATCAGTGAAAAGGGGCCATGACAAGTTAATTTTAAGAGGTTACAGCATCTGTTGTATTTTCTAAGGGAGCAGTCTGAACAGCAGAAAGAAAATACATGTTTTCTCATCTTACCTGCCTTGTCTCTATAACAACCACTGATGCAAGTCGTATTTATTTCTACACCACCAATGTCATATATAGTACAATTAAATGAAACTGAAAAGGTCAAAAAACATCAGAGTAGGTTCTCCACAAGATGTCTAAACCTGATAATGTCAAGGTGACTCATCTTCTCCTTTGATTCATAACCATTATGTTCTCTTGACACTGCACAGGCTGTTAACACTTTTTATAAATCAAAGCCGCCTCTTCCTTTTTAATTCAGATATTTTCTTAGTATCTCTGACATTTAGGGGGGACATCACTACGGCACTTTCAGTAACATTATGATCTCGTAAGTTAAATAGCAATAGAATTCTCTCTTTGCACATGTACTTGCATATTTAATTCTAGATTTTTACTCAGAAAGGCTTACATTTCTCTGCTCCTTCCTAATATAACTGAAGGAAAATTAACATACACAATACTTCCGATAAACACTTGTTTGGTTATGTGAAAGAAGACAGCATTTTGTCCTCAAAGGGTGTCTAGTAAAGGATCTTTACAACACAAAAGGGGAGAACAGGAAGAGGGAGAAGCCATAAGGAAGAACACACAGGGGCACAGACTTTACCACAAAGGTTGAAGGTGGCAGCTATAAGAACCAAACCTGCTCAGTCCCACTTATTGATAAGGGTATGGGGAATACAGAAGTGTTTCTTTCAGTAAAATTATCTGATGGAATTATAAAGAAAAAGGAGAAGCTATAAACAAAATATGGAGACACATACCTGAAGACAAATGTAATTAAAGACAAGAAACAAACCTTGTCAGGAACACTCAGAGAAAGGCTATAAATTTTTGGTAGTTGGAGTGGAAAGGGAGTGGGATCTTTGTCATTATTTTAGCTTGATTTTTTGACTTGTTTGTTTTAAACAAAGCATTATTAGCTTCAGGCCATCTGAATAAGGACAGATATCCTGTGTTTTCAAGACTATCCCACCTATAGTTTATTTTCAGCTATAATTTCAAATACATCAACAACTCTGAACAAAATCATGGACAAATATTTAGAGGCCTCATAGGAAGAAAGAAAAGTCCATTAGAGGAAAATGATGAGGCTCAAAAGCCTACATTAATTTTACAGAAAGAAAATCTTCCTTCCCATTAATGTCCTTAACATCTTAATTTTTCAACTATAGTCCCTACACCACTGTAACATCATTCATAAAGCCCTCTGAACAAACATGTCTATTCACATAGAGCTAAACCAAAAAAAGGCTATAGTAGGGGCAATATAATTTCATTATTCAATGACAGAGCCATCATCATGGAAATAAAGAAAATTATTTTCGTCTGGAACAACGAGATCTCAAATCTTAGATGAAGCTTTATACCATGCTAAAAAGAAAAAAAAAAAAAAAAGATAAATTAAGTAATAAAGGACAACTGATACCATTTTCTGTTCTTGTTTTGGAAAGCCTGCATGTTCCCAGCTTTCAGAAGACCCTGCACTGTTTTGAGACATTAATGGAAAGACTCAATAAATACAGACATAGTTCAAGCTTACTGTCTAAATAAGTTTCTGAATCAGTACAATTTTCTTTTTCCTGATAGAATCAACAAACTCACATGGGGTATTGTAAGAATTTTCTCAATGAAACATGAGACAGTCACATTTTTAAAACCCATCTTTCCACTGCTAATCTTATTCTTGTTTACCAGGCTTGTACCTCATTGCTGCTGCATCTTGATCTTACCAATCATGATGGCCCTGGTCCATTTCTGAATTCAGCAGACCACTTGGTTTCTATAGTGGAATCACCAGAAACCTTGACTATGGCCAGGAGAATAAGAATGAACTCTAAGAGAGATCAATTCTATAGGAGAAACTCCCAGACAGCAATCATCTCCCAGTCCAAGCTGACCCAACCCACAAATGACAGCTTAATGGTAAAGATGGCAAACAAATGATAACACAGAGAGAGGTTTACAACGAAAATAAAAGGAACAGAAAAACCATTCCATATAGTAAAATATTCCTGCCTTATATTGTAGAAATAATAAAATATCCATATAGATGAAAGAAGTTATCTGTCACAATTATCTGTCACATGTTGATGCAAATGTACTATAAATTTCAACTTACACCACTAAACTGATGTCCTTAGAAATTTTAAGACAAAAAATATAGGTAAAGTCTCTGAAAGTTAGCCATCAGAATGCAGGATGAAATCACTCTCAGAAATTCCCAACAGCAATGCTGTAGCTGGTTACTGACCAGCACATAGATAACACTAAACACTACTTGTGCACGTTTACTCAGATCTCCATCACAAGCCTGATTTATGTTCAATAAATGATACAGCAGTTGCTTAACAAGTCATTTCTTCAAACACAAAAACCTATATTCTGAAAAGCTATGTGATATTGATGTGCAGCCTTTCATGCCAGTATGGAAGCAAGTATTTTATTAACTCTGCAGTCTGTACTTGTGACTTGCAAATACTGGGGGAAGGGAGAGAAATAAAGGCCTGTTTTAAAAACACTCCATTTTTTTTATTTGTTTAACAGGACTCAGACTGAAGCTTATTTTTCAAACTACTTCTTCTAAATGAATAGACAGAAACCCTTAAGTGAATTTTAGTAAATTTCAAAACACACTGAACTCAAGGAATGCAATACCCTATGGATACAACACACCCCACCACACTAAAAATAGCTGCACTTTTAAATTTAAATTGCTAATGGAACTTCTGGGCCTTTTTTTTGAAAATATACAAGCAAATAAGCAGTTTTACCAGTAAATATCCTATTTGATCCTGAGTTATATTATTATTTCTTTGTAGTTTTGATGTCTGCTTTCTAAATTTTTCCCTTATTACTGTCTTTTTAGGAAGAGAATAAATTTACTGACAAAATGGACACAATGATGGGAAAGTGCTGTTAAAAAGATCCAAGGCAAAACAGAAACATCTTGTCTGTCACTCAAATTGAGTCCACACAGAGTCAATTTATAAACTGGATTGATGGATCGAGCACAGTCAGCATTATAAAACCACAGGAGAGAAACACTATGGGCAAGTCATGGCTTCTATTTTATCCATTGCTCATCCAATTTCTCTGCCTACCTCCAGATGTAAAACTTTTCATCTATTTTCTGTTCTGTCAAGTTCCTCTAGTACAAAGAAGTAACAAGCTAATTTTTAGAACTAAAACACCATCACTGTCAATTTCCGCTGTTCCAGTATGTTACACGTAATTGAGAGCTATTAAAACTACTCTGAACCAGAAAGTTCAAAACAAAGTAATGGCAATCACACTAACTTTTAAGTAAGGTTAAATTCTAAATTGGCAGATTTTGAAGATTTTTAAAAAAGCATTTTGAAGCATTTCAAAGAAATTTCAACTTTGGGAAAACAGTGATGGTGGGGCTCAGTTCTTTTGGAAAAATAAAAACTGATCTCAAAACTTAATTTAGTGTTTAGAGTTATTACAAGAAAGCAGTTCCAATTTGGCCAAATTTATATCAAAATTTGATAAAGAATAATACCTGTTAGTGCTATTTCTTTTTTTTAACCTTGGGCTGTAAAGCATTCCACTACCAAAGCTAATTGAGCATAAAGCAGATGGTATGTGTTTATTTATCTCTACAGTCAAACTTTGAGAATTTATTCAGTTTTCACAATTCCTATAAAAACCCAGCCCACAACATAGCTAGAGACCAAACAAGTCAAGACTTTGACTGAAGTACTGTTTGAGCTGTGACTAAACACGTATGTGCAAAAAATCCCAAACATTGTTGCTTTATTGGAAAATACAACATACAAATCTTTACCTGCAGCTCTGTAAAGTATTTTAGGTTCAAAGAATATGCATGGATTTTTGTCCTCTATGCATGACAGCAGCAATCCTTTGGCCTGCAGAGGACTCCTTGGAATAACAACCTGTAAAAATATTTTTTAAGTAGTTTATTTAAAATTGCAATACCACTAGAAACTTACTCAATAATACTTAAAACTAAGCAATTATGTGCTTTAAATAAATCTACAGATCAAGCTGTTCTCACAAAGTGAATTAACAAACACTATTTTATTAAAACACACTTCACATTTTTAATTTTATTTTGTTCATTGATGAGGCTTTAATAGTTCCCCTCTATACTGAGGATCACTTTAAGTGATTTAAATACTAAGGTGCTCTTCTAAACATTTGTTATCTAAATGTTACCTAAACATTTGAGGGAAAAGGAACAGAAAAACATCAGTCAAATTAATATACATAAACTTAGTAAAATAAATGTAGATGTATAACAAAAAAATGCAGCTGAGTGATCCTCAGCTACTTGGGTAAAGATTCATCAGACCAGGCCTAAAAGGTATTCAGACTTAGTCAAATAAGTTTTGAAGGCTACAAAAGGAAATAGCTATTTAAAGATGGCTTTCCTTGCTTATGGTGGAAGCTTGAAATTTCTTCATTTTGGAAATAAGTAACCAATGAATACCTTAAACTATTATCAAGCAAAATTAGACTAAGCAAGCAAGGCCTCCAGATGTAATCCAAGTACTTGGAAAGAAACAGTATAATTAATTTGCCAACAGAAGAGTTAACTTTGGATGATCAATCATGAAAAGAAAATTACCAAATTATCACAGTATAAGTGAAAATAGAACCCAAGAGCCAAATTCCCTCGAATCAGAAGAACCAACTAACTTTCATCCCAGAGACCTGAAAGAGCTGGAATATACAGCATGAAGTCTACCAACAAACACTTTTATAGCTGTGAAATTAGAAGTCACTGAAAACATTAGTTCTAGCACTTGTTTAAAAACAAAAATCCATTTTAAATACAGCCATGGCTTCAAAATATATTTTGAGAGTAATATCACTTATTTATATAAAAATAATATAAAATAGTAAAAACACAACCTAAATCTCCCCTTACATAAAATTAACTCAATAAGTGAAGAGTAAACAAAAGAGAAGCAGTTTATTAATATTTCACCAAAGCATTTGGTAACAGACACATAGGAAATTAACCATAGATGTCACTAGTACAGCTCCTTAGGAATGAATCATTTTCAGGACAGATTTTATTTACCTTATTCATTTATGATGTTAAGTCAGAACATGGTGATGAAAACTACTCCAAAGCTAGAAGTCAATACACTAGAGAGGACAATACTAAAAAGATCCTGTTCACACTCAGGACATGACTGACAAAAACAAACTGAAAAATACATATTGAAAGTTACATGTTTAAGGACTACATTTTTGTTACAGATTTAGAACTCAGGAGTAGAAATTAAGATCTGAATTTATTGTCTGCTCAAAAGATGACTAGCATACTATGCAGAAAAGTCCTAAAAAATCTAACAATGTAGCGAACTAACAATTGTTAGCCCTATTGCGAAAATCGCTGCTAGAAACTCAACTGGAATACTTAATGATTCTTTCTTTCAACCCTCTGAAAAGAAAATGAATGAAACAGATGCCAAAAGAGCCCCAGATATTGTTAACATTTCTCTGATACTTTGCTTTGTTTAGACTAACAAAACAAAGACTAAAGAGAGTACAACTGTTTTAGGATATAAATGGGATGGTGAAAGACAGATAAATTAAATATACAAGTTAGTCAATAAGAAATTCAGGATGGAAATGAAAAAGAGAAAAAGAAAGCTTCTAACTATGAGAGTAGATATTCTTTTGATGGAATGCAGAGAATCAATATTAATATCTTCAATGTATACCCTCAAAAGAGTGGACAAAAGATACAACCATCCAATAGTGTCCCCAAACCCCAACAAGCATTGCCTAAGTACCAATGACCATAATCCTCCCCCTGAATAACCAAATTTGTACAAAGTCCCTTGGGCTTGGGCAATCCAAACTACAACTGCCACTTAAGAAAAACACAAAATAAAAAGCCAGAAACCTTCCACAAAGTTTAATAAGAGGGTTGTTTTCAACGTCACTCTTTCCAAAGATCAAACCCTACCCTTTCTCAGCTTTTAAGATATTGTCTTTCATCCTGTAATATGGAGAAAATATGCTTAGATATGGGACATTTGAAAATGCATCTGAAATATCAGTTCATTTTAACTTCTTTATTTCTGTTTTAAGGGCCAGGGTTATTAAAAAACACCAGCAATCTTGAAACACTATGAACAGCATCAACATACAGCTTTGCAAAAAATATTAAAGGAACAACACTTTTTCGATAAATTAATAATAGTCAAAAGATAGTGTCTAAAACACTTTTCTGTGCACGAAACACTAGTGGATTGTTCCATCAGTTCCACAGAATTAATGTGCCTTTAACTGAGATGACAGATCTTAGTGGTATCAACCTATTTTAGCATTTTACCCAAGGAAAAGTGAAAGAAAATGAAAACCCAACACAAAGATCAGAGGTGGGAACAAAAAAATTATATTACCTGGAGAAACTAAATAAAATTTTGACTTACTAACTTATTGATGAGACTAGCCATCAGTCTTGGTAGCTGGTATGAATCAGAAAGCTTTAATCACCAGAGTGGACCACTAAACCTCATCCCTTGGTATAGTATATAATGAGATTGACCTACAAGATCAGCAGAAATTAGCTAGACCTGGAATCAGTATTTTAATAATCTAATTCCACCTTCATACAGTAATAACTACTTTAGTTTTTAAATAAGCTTTAGCAAACATTTGATTCAATAAGCTGACAAAAGACTTTGTAAATTGCTTTTGTCTGTAATCAGGAAATACTTTCAAGTTGAGAAAAGGACCTCAAACACCATAAAGCTCATACGAAGACAAGAATACATCCCATTCCTCAAATATAATGAAATAAAGTGTGAATAACACAAGGTTTTTTACTTAAGAGAAGAACAAGTAGGAGAAATGGCTTTGGCCTTCCTGTAGATGAGTAATATCTGAAGCTTTAGGACACCAAAATCATTCAGAGACAACAGTTTAAACAGCAGATAAACAATGAATATATGTCCTTAGAATACAAATACTCGTTCTGCTTAAATCTTCTACATTAATCTGCCATGAGTCACTGCTCAATGAACTGGATACCAGCTAACCCAGAAGTACAAGTTCACAGACAAAAATTTATTCAGGAAAAAATGGAGAACCTGACAAACAGTCTCTTGACCTGAGATGACCAGATGCTGCCACTCCCTTTTCTCTAATGAAGTTATCCACCTAAGCACTAGGGATCTTCACCTCAAGGGATGCCACAGCCTCAGGCAGAAAGCCTGCCTTAAAGTTCTCAGGAAATCACCAAGTAGTTGAGCTTGGCAAGGACCTCCAGAGGGTCATCTGCTCCAATGCCCTTGACCAAGCACAGCCATCCACATATAGTTGTCTGGAACCATGCGCAGACAAAATCTGAGTACCTCCAAGAATGGACACTCCGCAAACTCTCTGGGCAATCTGTGCTTCCTCATGTTCAGACAGAACCTCTGGTGTTTCAGTTTGTGCCCACTGCCCACCACTGTCCTTCATTTGAGTTAATTCAATAACACACTTAAGAGAGATGCAGAGATTTTAAAAAATAGGAAGCAAAGTACTACTCATTAAGTGTTAGTTTTTAGGTTCTGTACTACACTGGACACAAAACTGTGTAAAATATGTTTATAGTGCAAAAAACAGACAAATACAAAATGCTATGTCTACTAAAGATTGCTTCAATAATGGCTATAAATTCTCAAACACTTAACATAGTTTAGGTTTTCTAAAATTTTTCAATTAGCATACTCAGATATTTTGTTGTGGATTGACATCTACTCTTCCCCCTGCCTGCACCCAGACTCATAGCAAGTCAGGTCCTTTACAAAAAAAAAAAAAAAAAAAAAAAAAAATTCATCTTCATAAAATAAGAGTTACTATACCTTTATTCCTGGACAGTGAGCAAAAAAGGCTTCTGGACTCTGAGAGTGATATAATGCACCATGACCCACACAGCCCCAGGGTGCTCTAATGGTGAGGTTTCCACAATTGAACAGATCTCCAGAGCGGTAACGATATTTTGCTGCTTCATTAACAATCTGGGAAGATTTATATACAAAAGTAACATTCAGTCCAACACCTCTAGTTATGCATCGAGACAGTTCAATACATGTAATGTAATTACATCATCTGTTCCATTCATGGCATTCAGAGGATGAAATTATAAGCAAAGGAATACTGTAAAAGGCAAACATTTTCCAAGGCAAATAAACCAATAATTTATTGTGTTCAAGTTACATGTCTAAGCTTCAGGGGTTGCCCTATAACCCAGTTGTTTCCTCATTCTGTACTGTCAATCAGCCCAGTCCAGATCTGTACTTTGTCCTGTGGACACATGGCCAGCTGCAGCTGTATGCAGAAATGAGACTGTGTTCAGAAGACACAGGCTGTTGAATTTATGGCTGCTGAAGCCAACACAGCCACAAAATCAAAAAATAAAACAAACAGACATTTGCCTCAAACCAGATCTTTAATTTCCATTATTTAATAGGCCTTCAAATAAGCCTTGGTACAGTTTACTGTTTACAGTACAGTACTAGCACTGTTTGCAATTTATGCCTGTTTACCTAAAGCATGCATAAATATTAGTAATACAGCTGTGGTTATATTTGCACAAATGACATAATCAAACCAAGTACTAATGCTAACAGAAGAGTAATTTAAACAGTTGTAAGATTTCTTTTAACCACTCTCAAATTTATTAGTACTAACCTGATCAAATGCTGGAAAAATGTAATCTGCAAACTGAATTTCTGCAATGGCTGTAGCACCTGTAACAGCAATTCCAATACCAAAGCCAACAATTCCTTGTTCACATAAAGGGGTGTTGAAAACTCTGTCTTTACCTATATAAAAAAAAAAACAAAAAACAAAAAACACACAGTTCCTTTAATACAACCAGCTCTAAGTAGAAAATATTGTCCCAGAAATATTTTACTTATAAACAAGTCATGTGCAATTAAGCACATGACTCTTTAGATGGGCCTTTTTAGGTGCAGCAGTAATAACCATCCATTACAGGTACAGATAATTTAACTTGCAACACCGAGGAAGAAAAGGAGAAACTCAACAAAAGCTAAGAACAGTTTCTGTAACTTAAAACATTCTTAACACTTGAAGAAATATTTGTTCTGACACATTCACACTTAAACATGCACACCCTCATGCTTATATAGGAGTAAATAATACTTACAAGCATACTTGAGAGTTTACTATAAATGTTGTTTCTTCCAATTTCTTTCAGGCACTGACAAGTAAATGTCCCTACTCAAAGGCAGACAGATGTCCAGGAGCACCTGTACAAAAGCATACTGCCTCTTGTCCACACTCCCCATCAGCAGCGCCTATTCTCACCACTCTCCTCTCCCAAGGTAAGGCCACATTTATATAATCTGCTCTGTCTCCAAAGAACTGAAGCTGCTGCTACAAACCCAAAACATTTGATTTCATTTCTTCCCTATGGGAGTACAAAAGTCCTGAGATGTTTCTGTGCCACAGCAATTTCAGATCCCAAATACACATCAATCTAATAGATGGTTGCACACAAAATTGTTCAGTGCATAAAATTAAAAACAAGAAGGAGTGGAAGGGAGATGAAACACCACTACAATATCCTCTATAAGACATATTTACAATATTTGCTAGCAGTACTTTTCTGCCAAGGGAGTACAGCAGAAAAATCTCAGTCTGCTATTAAATCTTCCCTTTAGAACACTGGATAGACAGTAGGTTTCTACAGGAATCCATCATGCATGAAAATGCCAAGACTTCAAACTGGATGGAAAAAATGTGCACAGTGCACACCAGTGGCTATGAAATAAATTAAACAATAAAAAAATAACCATGAAACAACTAACCAAAAAAACAGACTAAACTAATAAGTGGGAAAGCTGCTACTAGGAGGACTTCTAATTTCAGCAAGTTTAACTATAAAAAGGAAAGCTAATAAAAGTTTTCAGAAAGGGATGATTAGGGAAAAACCTCTGTCCAAGGCTGTACTTGCAATATACTAAAGGGAGGTATGATTTACAAATCCTTAAAGGACACATCTTTCATTTTCACACATCACCCAGCATACCAGTGTCAGCCCTTGTATCCTGTCCATATGCACGTGTGTATGTATATATACCAGTGAATATGCTTTTGGCTCTCCCTCTGCCTGCCTCTTTTTTTCTCCCCTCTACCAGGAGCATTCATTTAGAGTAAAAAGTAAAAAAATAAATGCCATCAAATGATATTACAATGTTGGTGGTGTCAGTGAGGCTATACCAGCCAAAACCAAGTCCAAAGAGCTGCCACGAGTGCATGAAACACCATGATTTCTCATACAAGACAATGGAAACAAAGAGAATCCAAGATTAGTTTTTCCCCTAGAGGGACTCTTTACTGTGTAAATTGTTCTCATTCCTGAAGGAGCTGTAATCTCAGTTCCTATATTGCATGCTCCAGTGCACTCTCTCCACTGACAGACATCATGGCCGAAAAAAGAGGAAATAAACTTCCTGTGCAAATGTGTAGCTGGCTCAGGCCTTACCACCACGACTGTGAAGGTGCAGAAGCTCTGTACCCATATCCATCTGTAGCACCATAAACACTTGGCCAACACTTCCTTGCCTCCCTTTTATTTATCTAGCATATCATGAATTAGCCATCTTGATTCCCTTCTCTTTCACTGGCACAATTTTTATTTAAAACAGATCTTATTTTAATCAACTAAAAATGGATTAACATTATGAAGATGTATGGCAATGTTGGTAATTTTCTTTGCTACTTTCTACTTTCCTGCTTCTAATAAGTCCATTGGCAGATCACTGTTTTTCACTTCAGCTGTTTACAGGATATTTTGATCTAAGACTTATAGCTTATTCTTAATTAACTTAACCTTATTCTTTATTAACAGATTTTCCAGAGTACACTGAAATAGCCTAATATACAGGTTCCATAAATAAATAACTGTCATGGAGTAGCTTTAAAACCACGACAATAACCCTCACACAAAAACTGAAATGTATTTGAACAATCCTGTAAAATGAACTTTTAACCAATAATTGGTACAAACGTTAAAATTTCAGTTCTTTAATATCCATTTAGGGTCACGAATTAATTTAAAAGCATGTTAGCTCCACCACACTAGTATGTAACTACAATTCAAAATCTAAAATACATCCTAATAAAACTTGCTGAAATACTACTGAGATATCAAATGACAGGCATCATACTGCTATCAATGGATGATAATTAAATAAATGAAGCAAAAATCAATTAAAGCAAAAGTGAAATATAATGAGACAGCTGTAATGTGAGGAGTGTGAAGAACCTAATTTGGAGTTCCAGAACTAAAGGTACAATTCTGAAGCACCACGACTTAAAACAGAAAAGAGTGAGCTAGGGAACTCAATGATGACGTTTATTACTCAGGAATGGTTTTGACTGTAGCATTAAAATAATAATACTGACGTCTCAAAACCAAATCCTAAAGCACTTTACTATATATTAGATTGGAAAACAACATCAGGTAGAGTTTTGAGGGGTAGGGCTTTCTTTTTAAAATCTAGCCCCTTATGACAAAAAGACATGTGCATTGTTAGGATAAAAAAATTTATTAATTTCCCCAAACATTAAAAATTGTATGGTGTTGCTTTAACCTTCTTTGATACAGTATGAAAATCATTATTAAAAGTAACACAAAATATTTAAATATTTAGTATTTAAATGCATTGAGCCTATGTATTTTTATCTATTTTATTTCACATTTTCTTATTTTTCACTTTTTTTCAAAATGTGAAAAGAAAGTCCATTTTGATAAACAGTCATTCACATGACCCTCTGCAAACCACCTAAGTCAGATTTCAGCTGAAATCTGACTGAAGCAGACAAAAAACACACAGATACTTAGTGTTTCCATATTTCACTTCCTTACCAACAAAGAAACACTTCCTAAAATGTGTTGTTTTTCTACAATTTGTGTATCAGCCACAAAGGTCGCAACCAACTAACACCAACTCAAGGAGCTGATTTGTCAGTCCAGGTGGAAGTGGCACCTGTACATCTTCTGAAGACAGGCGCTGTCAGCCTCTGCAGGAAGTCATTACACTGCTGTGCATTTCAATTAACCTGCCTGGCTTTATAAACACCCCTGGTTTCAGCCATCTGAACAGGTCAGTGCCCTTTGCCAGCTACTGAGGGAAGCGATACGGCAAACTGGGAGGGTTATGTGAAAAAAAAAAAGGATGATTCTTCTCATCTCTCCATGCCAGTAACTCAGGAGGAAGACTAGATGCATGTTAAGGAAATGGAAAAACACTCCTGAAGTCTTCTCTAAAAAGGAAAACCTGAAATTATGAACAAACTTTAAAGAAAAAAGCAGTACTTGGATCAATTTTACTTAAATAAAAAAGGAGTGATCTTTGTCATTTTCAGAACAAAGAGTACCCCACTGATGTTCAAATTACCACTGACCCTCTGTGTAAGAGACAACAGCTTTAAGGCAGTCTCACAGTCATCTTCTTGCTCGCCAGGACTAAAGAGTTTCATAGCAACCTAACAGAACATGTTTACAGACATTTGTAGTCAATTATTGTGCATTAATGTTTTGGCTGCTTCATCTTTATTTGTTCCAATCCATCAGGAAAAAAGTATTTCAGATTTCAGTAACTGCAACGAGTCATGTTCCTGTCTTAATTTAACTTCAAAAATGAGCTATTCAAACAATATTAAATCTCCTATAATGTTAACACACCACCCAATGCTCCAACTCTGAGTAATTTCATATCACTCTGCATGAGTCCACCCTGGACTGTTTGGGTGGTTTAAGAAGTACTGCTGGTTATTTAGCCAAAGAAAAACTGTGCTTTGTTTTCAAAATACTTCTGTGTCACTGGTGTTAAAAAAATGTGTAATGCATCTTAAAAGATGTTGGTACTGAGCAGAATTAACAATATACATGGACAACATTTTATTTGTCCCAATGATCTCACTGACTTCCATTTAAGACATCCATTAGAAGTCAAATAGAAAAGTCTGAGAAGCTGAATATATTAGAGTTCAACTGAAGCAGTCAGACTGCACATGAAGAAAAGACTGGAAAGAAAAGGAAGCCCCAGCAGATGAGCTTTTTTACCACTCATGAGGGACTCTGTGTAGAAAATTCAAAAATTAGTTACTGATTTATCACCAGTCCTGCCTTTTAAGACCCTTTTTAACATTAAAACATCTAGGATTTTTCACAGATGTAGTTCTACATCAGTTTACTAATTTTATTTCTTAACACAACTAACACAATCTATTCAACATTTAAGCTTTCTTGGTACCACCATCCCTTTTAAGCCCCATTTTACAACTATAAGACACTTGTAGTCTTCCATTTCTCTGATATTATACAAGAGGGCAGGCCAAACAGCAAGTAAATTTGGTAAACTTATACTCAGCTCTTTTAGAGTTCCAAGGTTAACAAAAAGTAATTCTACTAACTTATTAGTTCGAATCATTTTGTTCTACCATTTTTTATACTGATCACCTAGTCAGAGTTTTTCAGCTTTTAAAAAATGGGCCCTGTTGCTCTAAAGGGAATACCAGTAATACATTAACTTTACAGCTGAATATAGACATTTCAAACCTACTTCTCCAAAGCAGAGCTTCAGGTTCACTGACACAGAGACACTTTAACGCTCAGTCTTGAAACCTTGCATACTAACATGCTCTGTTGTTTAAAAAGCTGCTTTTCCCAGAACTATCCATGCTAAAATACATTATTTCACATAACTGATGAAAAGTGATTATGTAAAACGAAAACGATTTCATACTCAAGTAGCTTTTAACTTCTGAAGACGACTTTTACCTATTGTGC